AAAATGTTCTCGGACAGTGATGACGACAGTTGCATAACTGTGAATACTAAAATACTAAATACTGGGGCGCCTGGGTGACTCAGTCGGTTGGGCGTCCAACTTCAGCTCAGGTCATGATCTCGCGGTCCGTGAGTTCGAGCCCCGCGTCGGGCTCTGTGCTGACAGCTCAGAGCCTGGAGCCTGCTTCAGATTCTGTGTCTCCCTCTCTCTCTCTGACCTTCCCCCATTCATGCCCTGTCTCTCTCTGTCTCAAAAATGAATACATGTTAAAAAAAATTTTTTTTTAAATAATAAAAAAATAAAATACTAAATACTAAAATTCTAAAAACCACTGAAGTGTATACTTTAAAAAGATGAACTTTATAGTATATGAGTATACTTCTAGCATATGAGTATACATCTTAACACAACAGTTACTTTTTAAAACGTTAAAAGGGAAAGGGCGCTTGGGAGGCTCAGTCAGTTGAGCATCTGACTCGATTTTGTCTGAGGTCACGATCTCACGGTTTGCGAGTTCAAGCCCTACATCAGGCTCTGCGCTGACAGTGCAGAACCTGCCTGGGATTTTCTCTCCCCCTCCGTGCTCAGGCTCTCTCTTTCTCTAAATAGATAAACACCAGAATTAAAAAAAAAAAAAAATTAAAAGGGAAGACAAACAAAAGCAGTGGCAAGTTGTTGAAACTTGCCTTTTGAAGACATGCAAGAAACTGCATCTAGTAGCAGTGAATGAGCACTCTCGTTTCATCCTCGCTTACACGTATGTGACAAAAATTAATACTAGTACTAAAATTATACCCAAACATGTAACATCTTTTTAACCCTTTCAAAATAAGGGAACAAATCAAAAGCTTGAAGTCTCACCCTGACCACAGCCAGTTTCACCCTGCCCACATAAAATACCAGCATGTCAAGGGCAACAAGTAACTAAGAGAGTCATGGAGCCTTCTAAGGCCACACTGAAAACTTTAGTTTCCTTTCTTCTTTGATTGAGACTCATTTGCATTCAATGGTTAATGTGAGCTGTAGTCTGCCACAGGATATGAGTTGTGGGTTGTATTTGTGTATGAGGCCAGGACGGTAAAAGGAAAGGTTGTTGGGAACAAAGACTTAGACGGGGCCATAGGAAGGACAGGCAGACTCCGGGCACGTCTGTCAGAAGCCGAGTTTCAATGGTTAAGAGGCAACTAACATTTTTATTTGCTTCCAGACGGGTGGTTCCGGGCTCTGGACAAAAACACCCAACAATCACCCCTTGAGTTTACCAGGAGGGCAAGAGAACATGAACCGAGGAGGACACACATAAGAAGAAGGAGTGAAGAAATGAGGATGAAGTGAAAGGTGAGATGGCTGTCATTTGAACACATTCATTTAGAAACTTTGCCACAGCCCAGGCTTGAGGGGATGTGCCTGCCTGCGTGGACTGTGTAACACTGACGACAAAGTCTGAACCTCTCCTTGCCAGCAACCACCTCCACCTGTTGCCTACGTATATATTATATCTCTAACTGACATTAGTAGGTAAGAAATACCTATTGAATAAATGAACGAAAGAAAAGATGTTTCACTCCAATCTATGGTGGAAGGACTTTTATTGAAACATCCTTGGACCAGCCACAGTTAGAAATGCACCAGGGGCTTCCTTGTTCCTTACTGGCTTATCCATGCCGGTGAGCCTGCCCTATCCTTCTCCCCCCTCCTCCACAGGTCATCTGGGGGGGGGGGCCTCTCAGGGTGCCCAAATCATCTGAGAACAGGGAATTTCAGCGCACAGCGGGCTGCATGGCTTTCTCATGGGGTAGGGCTCAATCAGTACGCAACGTTAGCCTCTCCATTCCAGCCAGCTTCCAATGAGAGCAAGGACTTTGTCTGGTCCCAGAGCTGATTTCTTGGTTCCATTTATAAGCTCAAGTCAAGAACCAAAACCTAGTTAGCTGTCAGGCCCAGCGTTTCCCGAACTGGGTTTGCCCTGAGCCCCTGGACATCTTCTCCTCAGCTCTCCACAGTGCGGCTCTTGGGATCCATCCTTCCTGTCAACTTCCTCTTAAGTGCACCTATTAGCCAGTGTTAAGCCAAACACAATCATTCATTTACTTTTGTGCGTGCTGGCTGCAGGCCTGGGTACCTGCCAGGTGACGTGAGTAAAGAGAACCAGGGAGCTAGCAGAGAAGACAGAGGGCTTGGCTCCTCTGGCTCAGAACCAGGTCAGCCCCCAGGGCCCGGGTGTGCGCACCATCTGCTCTCCCAGCTCCCGTCTATCTAATCCTTCACAGTCTTTCCAGAAGTTGTTCCTCTAAAACACAAATGATATGAGTGACCCACTTTAAATTCCCATGTGGCTTCATATTCCTTACAGAAAACTCCTTCACAATAGGGTCCTGGCCTATCGCTTTCCTTTTCAGGCTCATCTGTCCCCATGCTTTTTGCCTTCTGTATCAAACATCCTACCGGGGCACGTGGCATCCAGACCCGTATGTTACTCCTGCTGCCCCGGATGCCTTTCCCTACTTGTTACAACATCTCAAACAGCACTGTCCCTGAGAATATGCCTTTTCTGACCATTTGGTGCCAGGCACCATCCTGGTTGCCAGGGAAGAACACGGAGCCTGGCAACTCACCAGTCACACCCCGTAACTACAGCCCTCAATGTGCCGCACGCTTGTTCTCATTTCCATGGTCACCTGTCCCTCCGGAGGGAGGCTGTGAGCATCGCAAAGACCTTCTGAGCAGAAGAGCGTGGGCACACAGTAAATAGAGAAGACACCAGTGACGCAGTGGCACAATTCATGATGGAGTAGAAATCAAGGCCAACATAATATTTCTGTAATGACTCTGGTGCTTTTAGGTTGGGTTAGGCAATATCCTCTCACTGAGATTCGTATCAACTCCGAGAAATATTTTATTCAGTTGTAAAGTCCCAGTTAAATTCCTTTGTACCACTGGAGAAATAAAGCCTTTGATTAAAACCTAAAATTTCCCCAGCCCTCTGAAAAGGGGAGGGGGAGGGGAGCAGGTGTGGAAGAATGTGTGATCTGTCATATTCTTTAGTCAGAGCCATAAACGTGTTTGGGTAAGACAAAGTGATGTTCTGATAACGTTGATAAAAGTAACTTGAAGATTGGGTCACAGGAAGCCCAAGATAAATGCTGAGAGGAAACAGGTTCTTTTTGAAGTAGCCTCTTCATAATCATTTTCCCACACATTTGTTCAACTTCCGAAGGAGGACTGAAGACCTGATTTGCTTTGCAAATGAAACAGCCTAAGAATGAGACACTCAGCTCCTGTTGTAACAAATGTGCTCAGAGGCTCCTCCAGCTCGGTGTAGGCTTAGGCTGTGGCTTCCGAACTCTGTGAACTATTCCCGCAGGCACAGGGTAACTATGGTCCCCTAGGCTGGTCCTTGGCTCTATTTTTTGTTTTGTTTTTGTACTTGGTTTTAAAAGAGATTTCTCAAGGTCTTCAAGAGGACACACAACGTCCTCAGCAGCATCCTGACAACACAGGCAGTAACAGGTTTCGTGAGGGAACGCATTAGTGGGTTAGTGGTATCGCTTGGTCGGAGTATCACGCTCGGAAACTCAACTGGGGAGGATGGGCAGATGCGAAGGCGGCACTATTTATTATCTTGCTTGGGCCATAGCGGGCCTTTAATCTTCTTCTCACATTCTACACAGTGAAGGAGTGGGAGCTAAGTTAGCAGCTGGGAAAAGAGAACAAGACTGAAAGGCCCAGAGGACTCTCCTTTCCTATGTAAAAGCACATCAAGTCCTCTGAGACTGGCTGACAAATCCAAACCTCTCAGCACCTGCCTGCCGTGAATTTTCCAAGGCAGCTCAGCACAGTGCCTGGTAATCATTAAGTGTTTGTTAAAAGAACACACGATTAATAATAATCCAAGCAAAGTTTTGTTTTACAGATATATTAAGCTCATTAAAAGTTTTTGAAAGAAATCATGGTATCTTACCACTAAGAAATGTCTCCTTTTACCTTTTAGTGACATACATTTTTCATACATGCTTAAGTTTCTGTTCTCAAATACCTACTGAAAGGGTAACAAAATTTGGATAAAAATATTTTTGGTGAAAATAAATTTTATCAATTAGAAGAAACATTTTAAAACTTCTCTCCCAGGTTTCTGTTTCAGGATGATTTCTGTTTAAAGGCTCACAACATTAAAAGCTTTGGGTGTAGGGGCACCTAAGTGGCTCAGTCGGTTAAGCACCCGAGTTTGGCTCAGGTCACGATCTCACAGTTTGTGGGTTCAAGCCCCGCACTGGGCTCTCTCTGTGCTGACAGCTCAGAGCCTGGAGCCTGCTTCAGATTCTGTGTCTCCTTCTCTCTCTGCTCTCCCCCCACCATCCCCCCCAGCTCGTGCTCTCTCTCTTAAAAATAAACATTTGGGACATGTGGGTGGCTCAGTTGGTTGAGTGTCCAACTTTGGCTCAGGTCATGATCTCACAGTTTGTGGGTTTGAGCCCCACGTCAGGGTCTGTGCTGACAGCTCAGAGCCTGGACACTGCTTAGGATTCTGTGTCTCCCTCTCTGCCTCTACCCTGCTCACACTCTGTCTCTCCAAAAATAAATAAACATTGAAAAAAAATTTTTAAATAAACACTAAAAATTTGTAAATAAATACACATTTAAAAAATTAATAACAAAAAGTTTTGGGTGTGAAGGATGCTTGGGTGGCTCAGTCAGTTAAGCTTCTGACTAGTGATTTCGGCTCAGATCATGATCTCACGACAGAGCCCCACGTTGGGCTCTTATGACAGCACAGAGCCTGCTTGGGATTCTCTCTCTATTGCTCTCTCGCGCTCTCTCTCTCTCTCTCTCTCTGCCCCTACCCCATTCACGCAAATCTTTGTCTCCAGATAAACAAACATTAAAAAAAAAATTGGGGTGTGAAATGACACAGGCCTCTCTAAACCATATAAAATTGAGATGCCAAGCATAAAGACCCACAAAGAGAGTTCAGGGGAAAAAGCAGACCACCACTATCAGTGTTAGGTAAAGATTTTTATTTCTAACTTAACCATGCTGCATGTATACATACAATATCAATATATACAACTTGAACAAATAGAATTTATACATAAAATACAATGAAAGTGTGGCTTTTGAAATTAATGCAACAAACTCATTGGAAGATTTGCAATTTTGGCCAGTATACAGTATTGTAGTAATGCTACTGAAGTTATTAATGATTTAAAATTAATCAAACTACAGTATAAGTTCAAAGGCACTAGGAAGATCTAGGTTTTCTTCTAGCATTTTAAAAACAAAAAATAACTAAAAAGGAAAACAAATGTATACATTAAGAAACTGGGCAGACACTGGCATGCTTAAATGTAAACTCTACCCATTCCTTAATTCACAGCCCTGTAAGAAAGAGAGGGACCTCCCTTTATAGAAGAGTTAAGGGGAAAGATATTTTTAGAAGACTAAAAATGACAGCTACAACCCAAAAACCATAATCATAATTTTAAAAATATGTTACAGATCAAGTAGAATCACCTCCCTCCCGCAAAATAATCTTAAATTTCTTGCTGCAAAAAAAGGTCCCCTTTTCCCAGAAAGATGAGATACCTTGTCAGATGGATTCTACTTGCCAGATAAAAACACAGATGCAGGCCACCCCCATATACCTTGATTAATCTTATATTTTACAAGAATCTAAACAAAAAGGGGTGTACTATTGTATTTTAATATCCTAATTATAAGTATATATAATTGAGGTTTTAAAACAGGGTTTATTAAAGAATGTATCACAAACAATTAACATTCTACCAAGGCTCCTTTTAATAAATAAATATTACTTTTTTAAATTAAAGAGAAAATACCCTTTCAATAACCTATTTATATGAGACACTCATCTTAAAACTGTCTATTTCAAATAATGAGCAAGTATCTTCATCCATATCCTTTCACGAAATTAACACTGAAGTTAAAAATATTTCATTTTATGGACAAAGACACAGTACATGTGAAGAAACCACAGAATTGCTATGATCAGAGCTAAATGAACAGCTCTAAAGTCAGTATCCCATGCTTTCATATGGATATTCAAGCCTGGCTCGAATATCTTATTTTGGTATTTCATAAAATGAATATCTAAGGTACATCTGGTATAATCAATTTCTGATGTAAATGTTAAAAAAAAAAAAAAACTGCTCACATGGCCTGTTTTGTAAATTCCTCAATGTTTTGACTTTTTACAGATTTTTGCTATTGTAGCAGAAGTGGAATAGAAAAATAAATCTAACACACTGGCTTAAATTTTCTGTTTTAAAGCTTAATGCACAAGTTGTTCCTTCCCCACAGCAAAGGGAATATAGTGAACGATACTGTAATAGCCTGTAATAGCGTCTTATGGTGAAAGATGGGAGCTACACTTGCCATGAGCACAGTGCAACTCAGCAGCGGAATCACTATTTTGCACACCTGAAACTAATGTAACACTGTGTGTCAACTCTACTCAAAAACAATAAAAAATGAAGTTATTCCTTTCCTATTCACTGGATGGTTAAAGGCTAGAAGTGTGGATTTTTAGAAAGAAGTATGCATCTTTTTTATTCTACTGGCAAAATTAAGATTTCTCTGGAGCATTTGCTAACCATTAAATGTGCATCTACAACTGCCAAGACATTCTTCACAGACAAAGCTTTCACAAGACACAAATTCACCTCTAGTCTTCACAGTACCTGAACAATGCCCCACAGAGTGTAAAGTCAAAACTTCTAACTATCTTACACATTACAAGGAAAATGCTGCCAGGTAAATGCAATTCTTATTACCTAGAAAATATTCACCATACACAGGACATCTGGTACACCACCTTTGGAATGAACTTTAAACTTAGAGACGCATTTTTAACACCACCTCACAATCATGCCACCTACACTCACCCCCAGTCTATAGGCAGCTTGGTAACTACAAACCAATATTTAACCAAACTTACTAAAATACTGTTCACTTAATAAATACTAATTTATGAAGTCTCAAACTTGCAACCAATGGACTTTAGGGCTGATCATATAATTTTAAAATTGATAAAATATACATTAAGTGGCTTAGGAGTAGCATAACTTATGAAAAAATTAAAATTTTGTAAGCAATCACCATGAGAACAATTCTAACTATTACAACTTATTTTACTACAAAAATGATTTTTTTTTTATTTTTAAAGGAATATGGTGTAACTGGGATTTGTCAATAAAAGAAATTCAGGGAAGAATGTTTTCTTTTTATAAAATATGAATAAAAGCAAAACAAATGTTTTAAAGTCTAAGAATTAAAAGATACACATATTTCTTGCTTTGATTGCATTTTGTGGAAAATGGAGACCTTTCTCAATTGGGAGATACAGAGCAATTCCTATCACAATTTAGAACTGAGATGCAGAAAAGCATCCATTAGTCACACTCAAAGTGAATTTTAGAAAATATACATATATAGGCAAAGGTTAGTGACCAGTATTTAGCTTCTTAATTTTCTGCAACTGTGACTTTTATATCTATGTACAAACTCAATGCTTCGAGAGAACATGAAACCAGAACCAAAAAAGTGTATTTCACTTGAAGTCCAAGTGGCAGAAAAAGGTCAAGAGAGGTCCTAAAGAAACGTGTTTCCAACTTTTGCATTTTAAACATGTATACTTCTAAAGTTTGGCTGCTGAATTATAAAATTTTCCAAAGATCAATAACGTAAGTTGTCTCATACTTAAAATGCAATGAATGTTAGTATAAAAATTAGAACATTTTTAAATAGGCCAGGTGGGTGTTAAGATCAAATAATTTCTTAGATATGCAGCCCATACATTCACATGACAGCACAACATAGAATGATGAGATCTGCTTTCTGTGTGCAAAACAGGACATATATATTTTTTTCTATTTTGCCTATCCAGTTACCTAATTATACAGTAGTTGAATAAATCACTAGCAGATTTATGTATACATTAAACTGCAACTCTCTCAGTACAGTAAGCTGCTCCCCCAAGTTCCCTGCACAGTATAGAGTGTAATATGACAATCTGAACAATTACCAGTTGTACAATTTTAATATGACATTAATATATACACTGACTAAGACTTATTAGGCAAAATATTAGTTCCAGTCTTACTCCATGATTTACAGCTTCCATAATCTGAAATTACACAACAGTCTTCAGTGTTTTAATTAAAGATTTTGTCTAGGCATGAGAATATCATTAATTTTTATTGTGACTTTAAGTCTGTAATGTTTACTGAAGTAAAGAGTCAATCACAGTTTCAGGCTTTGCAGAACGCTTTCTGTTTGGAGAAGAGAAAAAGAAAATATGAATGCTTTCCTAAAAGACTGAATGCAAACACTTTACATTATGTAGCAGGTATGGCCACAGAGTGGCCATAAGGTCTAGAAACAAGCCAAGGTTTGCCACGTTTGACATGTTAAGAGATCAATGCCCACCTTTTTAGGCCAGAGGAAGGTCACCTGAAGTAGGTGCAAGAGCCTGACACTTTACCCTACCAACCAGAATGTAAGGGATTGAGTCAATGAAAACTTCTAAAATAGGACTAGACAGGCCAGGGCCAAGTGGGCTGTATGTTTGCCAGGCCTGAGCCCCTGGATTATCTGTTCTGGGGCATGCTGAAGGTACAGGTTCATTCAGTGAAAAAAAGAGACACAAATCCTCTGAAGCAACACCTGCAGAAGCATGTGCAGGGACCGATGGAAATACTACATTAATGTACGGTGTTCAATGCAATTTTGCTTAGCGCACTGAACTATGCATTTCTAATTTACAGGAACATCACATTGGACCTTATCAGGTAATGTGATACATTATCAACAAACCATTTATTGTGTATGTTTACGTTCAGGGGCATCTACTGTTTTTATAATACAGAAGGCTAATTCTGGTACACAGAGAATGATAGGTTTGGCTCATCCAATGTTGGCTCAAATGAAATTTTTTTACGTTAAACCATTTATCATCACTCTTGTGTTGTAATTTTTCTTATTGACTGCAGAGGTAAGAGAAAAATATCTCTATTAAAAATGGAAAAATGAAAGATCCAGCAGGATTTGTGTTTGACTTCTTCATTCACTAATATTACACACATGGCTTCTGTTGACATGTGAAAAGTTTTTAACAAGTGGCACTTGAATGCCAAGAAATGTAAAAATTTGTACATCTTTACAATGCTACTGACCTTCAGTCACATATACCAAATTTATAGATGTTAGGTTATGTCTATGATGTTATGTAACATAAAATATTAAAACCTTACAACTTCATCTGACTTATAGCTCAAAAGTCTACATACTCAAAGTAGGAGGGAAAATAAGCTTAATATTTCCTATCATTTCAGGAGCTCCAAGTGTTAAAATCAGTTTAAATAAGCTGAACAGTACTTACGTAGGGAAGGGAGAGAAGAAACACGCCCCAGCCCTGATCTCATGTTATGATACATATAGACTACTCAACAGTCAAAACCAGCACTCAAAGGAAAGGGAAAAATGGTCAGAAAAGCTTTCTTTAACTAGCAAGGTTAAAGGTTAAAGGTTCTTGGAGCAATGTTTATAACAGAGAAGCAAGCCAGCAAATATAAGACCTTGGAGTTGAACCAGGCAAATTCATTAGCATCTCACTAGAAGAATTACTGTAAGAAATTAAGGGATTAAGATAGATAGATAAGAGACGACTTCTAATACATTTGGATAGAACAAAGTATATTAAAAATAAACTCTAGTACTCAGGAAGGCTAAAGAAGTTGGAAGCCTTAATTTAATTCTTTAGTTTTTACTTACTCAAATCATTACTACATAAGGACTCTGATATTTATTTAAATACAACTAAAACGCAGCTTTTTAATACAGCTAAAATATTTATTATGTTAACTAAATTTCCTCTAAATGTATCTACATAGGATATCTCAGTGCCTTTATCTCACAGGACTGAAAGAGAAGTCTTTACCTTCGCCCCGTCTTTGGCCTTGCTTTCCCCTTTGACGTCCGTGGCCTCTCTAACTTCATCAGGGACTGCCGGAGGCTCTCCTCAGTATAGGCAAGATACACGTGGGAAAGGTCCACTTCAAAGGGCTAAGTAAAGGGAGCAAACACAAGACACTCTTATAGGAAGGATTTAAACCAGATGTGGGGAGAAGATTAAAAATACTGAATATACTCCTAGAGAAAAACTGCAGAAGACCAAATAAATGTCTAAGGGTATCTTTTCCTAATGCCACTCATGTCAAACGTATTCACCAAGGGCGGTAAGTAAGGAGCCCTGACACCCTATCAATATCTTCAGAGGAAAGGAAAACCATTATTGTTTCCCCTATAGCTGCTACTTCCTCTTGCTGACCTAGGTCCAGGACCAGCTCTGAGAAGGAGACAGACCCACTCTGGTCTCTAACTATCCCCCCGCCATGGCCTGGAGAGGTGAAGAGGCTCTGAAGAAGCCACCATGCCACCTGTGTGGTGCAAAGGGAAAGCCTACCTTCATGACTGAGGGGAGCAGAAACGTCCTCTACCCCCCTCCCAGGGCTTCTCTTCCCAAAAGATAGGCCTATTTTTCAGCTGAGCTGATTAATTTAAATCATATTCATAACACAGATGAGTGACCCACATCCTATAAAGAAACTGGAGTTACAACAACAAAAAAGGACTCTTACATCTTTCTCCTTTTTATCAGGAGCTGGGGTCTGCTTCCTCATGTTATTTCCTGTATAGGCAACACATTTCTCAAAAAAGGAAAAAAAGGGGAGGGAGGAAAATTATCTTAATTAGCAATTAATACTGAGAATATGGCAAATTACTATGAGGTATACTGATGTTACAATCATAAAACGTAATTTGAATACTGGAAAAGAAAGGAATCTAGAACTCCGACAGTCCTGTGCAACCCCAAACGACACCACTTCCCCTGAATAGTCTGTGTGTTATAACACGGTTAATGAGAAAAATATCTTATCCACTCTAGTGGACTCTCATCTGATTCATTCCCTGGACCATCTTAGTCTCCTCAGAGCCAGCACAGTCCCCAGGCCACAAGATGCACTCCATTAAGTACTTCATGAGAGGATGAAGGTAATACTCACCAGCTGCCATTCTCCTATGTCTTCATTCCAGTGGACGTAGTTTTCAATCATTTCCTTTTAAGAGTCAAAGATGGTCTACTTTTAATATTTAATAACATCTGAAATACTGAAAACACTCTCAAAACTAAAATTTTAACATATTAAGTAAAAAAAGTTGCCTCAAAACATTATATACTGCATTATAACTTTCTGATAAATTTAAAAATACATACTTTGAAGGAATATACATAAATGCAATTAAACCATATAAAAATAAAAAGCAATAAAATGAAGAATATGGGATTCAGGATGATGGCGACCATGAGTTGGAAGAGGCAATGGGATGGCAGAGGGGAGAGGGAAACCGTTTGGTTAGAAATAGGTTACGTCCTGATAGCGGCTTTTGTTATGCATGACAAGATCACTACAAAATAAATAACAAAAAAAGGCCAAAACAAACACAACTAACCAACTAAATAAAAGCAGGTCACCCAAGGACCAGTAAGGAGAATGTACCATGAAACAAAATTTCATCAGCCTGAGGTCCAAAGGAAAAAAATATTAAGGCTTATTTTCAGAAAAAGTTCTCTGAGCTATACAGAGACTTGAAATAAATTTTTGAAAAATTAGTACGTTAAGGTACACTAAAATGTACCAGAAAAGTGGCAATTTGGGGTACAGAGAGGCTGACATTTTAAAATTATACTAGAATTAAAAATCAAATTCCACCTGGAGATGGATGGCAGTGATGAGTGCAAAACACCATAAACATACTTAATGTCACCGAACTATATTCCTAAAAATAGTCTAAAAAGGTAAATTTCAGGGGCGCCTGGGTGGCGCAGTCGGTTAAGCGTCCGACTTCAGCCAGGTCACGATCTCGCGGTCCGGGAGTTAGAGCCCCGCGTCAGGCTCTGGGCTGATGGCTCAGAGCCTGGAGCCTGTTTCCCATTCTGTGTCTCCCTCTCACTCTGCCCCTCCCCCATTCATGCTCTGTCTCTCTCTGTCCCAAAAATAAATAAACGTTGAAAAAAAAAATTTTTTTTAAAAAGGTAAATTTCATGTTATGTGTATTTTACCATATACACTACACTATGATACACACACATGCACACACACACACACACACACACACACACACGCACGCACATACACACAATTAGTATCCATAAGCAGGGAGAAAAATTAGCAAAGGAGTTTCATTTATTCTATTTATAGGATCAAGTATATAGAATGAATAAACAGGAATGCAATTACCTAAATCTGGGTTCCTCCAAAGGGCTGAGAAATTCTTAAGTAGATACTTACATACTCAGAGAATTATGTATTGAGAAAAGATAACAGTTGAAGTGAAATGTGATGGCATTAGTTCAAATAAATTTTACTGTCAACAACTGAAATGTAAATACGTACCATCAATTAAATTAAAAATTATATTCCCATTTCTTCACCCCAGCCAAGTGATGTAACATCTAGGTCAGAGAACTTCCCTCTTACCTGATAATCTTGAGGTATAAAGTTATCAATAATAAGCATCTGAAGTCGAAGCTCCCGGCTAAGTTGTCGAATATTCTCCAGGAGGCCTTCAATTTCCCTCTGATGCTCCTGTTGGAGATCAGCCATCTACCAGAAGAATCAATAAAAATATGAAGGGCAAACAAGATTTTAAATACAGAACAGTTTTATCTGATTTAAGCACTGGCCTAAGAAACCTTGTAAAACTTACTCAGTTTTTTTCACAACAACAATGCACAAAATGATACTACCCTTTCACTATCTATTTCCACATTATTTTTTTTCTTTTTTAATGTTTGTTTATTTTTAAGAGAGAGAGAAAGAAAGACAGAGTAGAGTGTGAGTGCAGGAGGGGCACAGAGAGCGAAGGAGACACAGAATCTGAAGCAGGCTCCAGACTCTGAGCTGTCAGCACAGAGCCCGACGCACGGCTCAAGCTAGGTTAACAGCGAGATCATGACCTGAGCCAAAGTCCGATATTTATTAACCAAATGAGTCACCAGGTGTCCCTATTTTCACATTATCAAGGTTGGAAATACACAATATAGCTTAACAGCTAAAATGTGAAATTGCACACAAAGGAGAAAATGTTATTTCTTTAAAACTGTAAGCATACATTATAACCTCTTTAGGATTTTTAATCATACTCAAACAACTTTTTTTTTTAATTCAGAGCTACATTTGTAGGTAATCTCTAGGAAACCAACCTCTGATTTGGCAGCCATCAGCATAGTCCACACTTTCTTTAGTTTCTTGGTTTTTCCCTGTGCTTCCTCTTGCAAGCTGGTGTATTTTTCTTCAATATCCAAGCGTTCTTGCTATGACAAAAATTGATAAACTTCAGCCAGAATCATTTATTCGTTAAGTCACAAATTTCATTATTTAACAAATGATAAAAATGTTTAGCAACTATTATCTTTCTTTTTTTTAATTTTTTTATTTTTTTATTTAAAAAAAATTTTTTTTTCAACGTTTTTATTTATTTTTGGGACAGAGAGAGACAATGCATGAACGGGGGAGGGTCAGAGAGAGAGGGAGACACAGAATCGGAAACAGGCTCCAGGCTCCGAGCCATCAGCCCAGAGCCTGACGTGGGGCTCGAACTCACGGACCGCGAGATCGTGACCTGGCTGAAGTCGGACGCTTAACCGACTGCGCCACCCAGGCGCCCCCGCAACTATTATCTTTCAAAGCAATTCACAGATCTGCTTTAAAATTTTATTAAGATTATAGATATAAGACAAATACCACATGATTTCACTTATATGTGTAATCTAAAAAACAAAACAAATGAACAAAGAGATAAACAAAAAGCAGAAACAGACCTATCACTACAGAGAACAACTGCTGGTTGGGTTTCAGGGGGAGAGAGGCAAAATGGATGAAGCAGGGAGTGGGAGGTACAGGCCTTCAGTTATGGAATGAGTAAGTCACAGAGATGAAAGGTGCTGCACAGGGAATATAGCGAAGAGTACCGTAACAGGGATTATATGTTAACAAACGGCAGCAACATTTGCCGGCAGTACAGATTAACATACAGAAAAACTGAATCACTATGTTGTACATCTGAAACTAGTATAACATTGTGTGTCTACTATACTTAATTAAAGATTATGGATATAGAGCTTTTCACTAGAAGAGTTAAATACCCAAGGCTAAGTGTCAACCAGAAACAAAAAGTCACATTACCTCTTTTTCCTCAAGTTCTCTGCGAAGTTGCTCTGCTCTTTTCCTCCGTTCTTCCAGCTCCATGTTAGATTCTTCAAGAAGTTTCTCTTGTTCCTCAGCTTTTGCCAACAAATCAACACCACCAACAATTACTTTCTTCTCCAGAGCAGATAATTTCTCTAGCAAAGATTGATGTTCTTGTCTGTTGATTAAAAAGGAGAATAGTTAATATCCATCGATTATCTTCTATTCTATCAATATCATTTCCCAAAATTTACCAGGTATTTGGATGCAAAATTTAAAAATAGGGATATAATTATGTAACACCTCTATCAAATTATATCACAGTGTAGTATTAATTAACTTATGATTTAATCTGTAACACCCAACTTCACTGACAATTGTTCCTCCTACATAGAGATGAAATAACAAAAACAGATGTAATTTCTGGAAATACAACAAAACTTTCGATCCCAAAAAGCTATTCTGGAGACAAAAATCAAGCTTTTAATTACTATTTAATTTTCTTGCTTATACATGCTATGAAAAATACAAGATTTTTAAATCACGAATCTATCTCAATTCAGTAATACTCACTGAGCCTTAAGTAGATCTTTTTCCCGTTTCTCTAATTCAGCTCTAGCCTTGTTTCTTTCTTCTTCTTCCATGTCAAGCTTTGTTTCAAGTGCTTTTCTCTCCTCATCAATTTTTGCTTGCATTTCAACCATCTTATCTGGGGACACTTTCTTTTTACCTATATGAGTCATTTATTTGCAACAATCACTTTAGGGCCAATTTTTCAGGCTTGTATAAATTCTCTTCAATTACAAAAGATACCTTCCTCAATAATACAAAATCAAATACAATTTTGAGCAAATCAAATAATATATTTTATTTCTATTTAATATGTTCCTAGAATAACTTTTTAACTAATTGCTAAACAAACTGCTGTGTAATTATGCGATAACTAAAAACAAAAGTATGTGAAAGAGAAGCAAAACAGGTAAGTAGGAAAAAAAAAAAAGAGAGAAAGATTAACAGGAAAGCCTAAATAAAAAAACCAAAGATCTATGTGTCCTCAAATACGCAGTATGTTCAAAAAAGCAGTATGATTATTTACTTTTTTCTGATAACGAGGTACAAAATAAAGTGGCTTCCAAAAATACCCCCAGAGTTTATTAAAATAAATGAATAAATAAAAGGCACATATAGTCATAAAATGCACAGATGAAAGTATCAGGCAAAATTTATAGCAAGAAGTTTCTAACATGTATCTTCAGAATTTTTGTAAAATTTATGTTTAATAAAATTACTTGGAAGTGTTTCATATTATACCTTTATTAAAGGAAGAAATTCTATACTAATTATTTAACGGTTACATTACAATTAACCAGGCATTTTACAGTTGTTGAGCTACCATGATCTATCATCGTGTCTTAAATGAGCAATTAAAATAGCTCATTATTATGTCAAACTCAGGAGCCTAAATATCAATAAGCCACTTTAAATATGTCAAGTATCAAATATAAATAGAAATACTATCAAATAATAAAGCTGGAAATGCAGTTCCAGTTGATTATTTTGACTATAATGCCAACTAGAGTGTTTCACATATATATAATAGGTATCCAATGTAAGTTTATTGAATGAATTTCAAAATCATGAAACTAAAATAAGAAATCAAAAAGAGCAAATAAAAAACCAGGTTATCAAACTGGTTATGAAACTGAATCAAATAAATTCATTTCTGGTAATACAATTTCTTTGAAACATACTTTCCTTTAGAAAAACGATCAAACTTTTCGTAGAATTGGTGTGTGGCTCTCCTGAAAGCTTTCTGTCATTCTTAACTTCCTTCCCAAAGGACCACAGAAGAGTGTAAACCAGAAGAGTTTATAAATTGTTAATGTCTCCACCCAAAAGCTAACCCCTCCTGCTAACAAGGAAAGAGAACTGAAAGATAATGATGATGCAGATATTTATCTGAATATACATTTTCAGGAAACATGAGATGAAGAAGCATTCAGAGACTTTAAATCTTTAGGATAAAATTATATTAAAAACCCAAGGGTTTAAAATATATTACCCTCCATTTCTATAGAAATAAAAGTCCAAAGCAAACTTAAGCCACAAAACAAGTAAGTTAAATAAAAGAGTAAATAAAAGCACTGATCCAAATTCATGCTTTGGTGTGGTGTGATTCATTGCATTCCAAAAGTCAGGATGTAGACCTGAGTATGTTGGCTTCTTTGGCACAGCCACCTGTATTGAATATTCTGAATTATGCTGTTAAAAAAAATGATTTTAAAAAGCAATCTAGGGGCGCCTGGGTGGCGCAGTCGGTTAAGCGTCCGACTTCAGCCAGGTCACGATCTCGCGGTCCGTGAGTTCGAGCCCCGCGTCAGGCTCTGGGCTGATGGCTCGGAGCCTGGAGCCTGTTTCCGATTCTGTGTCTCCCTCTCTCTCTGACCCTCCCCCGTTCATGCATTGTCTCTCTCTGTCCCAAAAATAAATAAAAAACATTTAAAAAAAATTTAAAAAAAAAAAAAAAAAGCAATCTAATTCCTACTCCCAGTGAACTCCTAGGCAGGATTAATCAGCAGTACTATTTCTTAGAAATTTGAGGGGGAAAAGTTGAAGTTCAGGTATAAAGGAATTGCATACAGAGGGTGCCTGGCTCAGTGGGTAACACATACAACTCTTGATCTTGGGGTTATGAGTTCAAGCCCCACATCGGGTGTAGAGATTAAAAATAAAATCTTTAAAAAAATAAAATGAGGGCATGCATTAAAAAATTGTAACTTATTTTCCACCTCAGCATTACAAATATTTAAAGAAAAAATGGCCAATATGTTAAGACAAAAAACAAAACAAAAAAACCTCTCTGTAAAGATGTGGATATTAACAGTATAGCGGAAATAATCTGATAAACTGATAAACATATGCACATTAATTTTTAGGCTTCAGGGTTCTAGTTGTTTGGTTAACACTTAAAAATATCTAGTTTCTAACCCCATTAAGAGGCAGTAAGAAAGATATTATATATAGAAATACAAAAGCACAACCTGTTGATGAATTACTAGCAGGCCTGAATTGCATTAGTTATTCAAAACCATTCAGGTAGGATTTTCAAACTGACGCTTTAGCAGCAAAAATCTTACTGTGCTCTTACAATATTCTCATAAAGATGACCATGCATACAGGGTTCGGTTCAGTTTCAAAAGTCTAATATTTAAGTTAAATAATATTCTAGCCAGTATTATTCAGATAAATCAATGTATTTCTCTGCAAATAATATTTCAGGCTAAATGTGAATATGTTCCAACTCTCCTAACCAGTCACTTAAAATTGTGACATCACTAAAAGTCACTCTTACGTTGATTTTTTTTTTTTAAGAATTTAAAAAAATCTTAACTAAACCAACCAAAAACCCTTCTTCTAATACTGCATGATAGATTTCAGCACAAAATTTCAGGTAAATACATCTTAAAAGTTGGTCATGTCATATAGTATATAATTAAGCCAAACAGGAATAATAGTATTTTTAATTGCCCTTTGCCATGCATTCCAACCGAAATTGCCAAGATGAAATTAAAGGGAAGAATTTCAGGAAGAGTTAACTGAATTAATTTCATTCTCATTACATGAGCATTGTTGGGCATAAGTACCCAGGTGTGTGATTCCTTTTTTTATTTAAGTTTGTTTTTTTTTTTTTTTTGGATTCCTTGCTTTAAAAAAATGCTTGAATATGAAAATCATTTATATTTGCATTACTGAAATTTGGCCTAATGGGTCCTTAAAAATTTAGGAAAAAATATTCTGTCATCTGGTTCTGGTGTTATATTGACTTTTGTCTATTGTGTTGACGAGGTCTAGAGAATCCAGTGTGTGTGAATGTTGATCTAACACTTGTGAACTGTTCCTCTAAAAAGATCATTTGGAAACAAGACTGTTGCTAATATCTTCCTGAATAAAAATGGAGGTAATTTTTTTTTAATTTAGGAAAAAGTAAGTTTTTTAAAAAAAACTAAAAGTTGAAAACTAAAGTTGATTTTTTTAAATAAAAGTTGAAACTTTTTTTTTAATTTAGGAAAAAGTGAGGTTTTTTAAAAAAACTAAAGGTTGAAAACTAAAGTCAAAAGATTTTTTTTAATACAAAAGACAGATACTTACCTTGTAAAAAAATAGTATTAAATTTTAAAAATGTAATGTAATTAAATAACAAAATTCTTTATAGTTTAAATAATTATACCATGTGGAGTGCAAATCAATCACACCAACCTGCTTGATCTTTCAGTAAGAAGTAGTAAGCAAATCGTAGACAGGAAGCATATGCACAGAGATGAAGAGGAAAAAAAGAAAAACATTATTTCCTTTGTAAAACAAAGAAAAATGTATAATAGCATTTACTTACAGTATAAATACAGAAATAAATCAAATCATCAACACTGAAAGAGAGCAGCTTTACGTAAAAAGAAAGGATATTCAACACAATCAGAGATGTAATTTAAGCAAATAAGATTAAGATTACACTTCAAATCAATCTCAAAAGCTCACACAATGACTCCCACACTCCTGAAAATATAAGAGTTCAGCACCATGTGGTTACACCAACGATACACATGGAATTGGGAACCTGCTAAGATCTAGGAAGTAGTCTGTAAGGACAAAACAAAAAACGATGCCAAATTTAAAAAATTAGCTGAATGTAGCAAAATTTGCATTGTCTGTTTATAAAATTTCCCAATTCAATGTTCTAATATAAAGATCCAATACAGGTGTGCCTCCCTCTAAGAAAATCCAACACAAAAACCTCAATCAACTAAAGAGATGAATTGGATTATAGTAATTTGTAGCGAGAACTTGATTAACAAAAGGATTTAACGAAGAAATGTTAAGGACAGCAAGTTCTCCCAATGGATGTGATTCTCCAATTTGGTTTATAAGCAAATTTTTCAGAAAAAAAAAAAAAAAAAAAAAAACACATTAACTGCATAAAGTGAAGTACACCTGTATAATAACAAACTTGCATTCAATCTATTAGTAGATTGTTAAAGGCAATTATGATTTCATAGAAGTAAATGATCAATTGATGATTCAAGCAAAGAGCACCTTAAAAAAGGCCATTCATATTTTTAAAAGGAAAGGTACATACAAGTTACACACAGCAACCACATGCTGGGAAAACCATTTTTCCAATGCACCAACACACCCACATCACAACAAAAAACGTTGTATGCTAGGTACACAAGTAGTAACTAAAACTGCATGAACTGAACAAAGTACAACTCATTTCATATAACTACTCTTTAAAGATTAAGGTAAATTTTAAAAAAGAAAATTAAATTATAATGTTCCACTCAGATATTTTCTCAGACCTGACAGTTTATAATAAGAAATAATACCTCTATATGGTTTCTAAAGCAATTTCTTGTATTTTATAAATTATCCTATGAAATTAATTGTTTTGCTAAAAACAATTTGCTAAAAACAAAAGAGTTGTCAAGAGAGAAAACAATTCTTAATATTCTTGGAATTCTTCCTCTAGAAAGCTAAATGTGTAAGAACCACCAAAGGTTTTTGTTATTAGTTTTGGAAAGGTGAGTACACGGATAATGTTTTAAAAGGCAGTAAGCTGCAATCTAGTACAAGAAAACATCAATTCCCCTTTCTTCTAAAAATATAAATAAAATTAACAATACTTTTCAACTTAATGAAACTAAGGTTTAAGAAAAAGCCTTTACGACTGAAATAAGTCTAGACAGATCCTGCAGAAACAATTTCTTGTGGATCTGAAGTCTCTAATCATACCTTAGAACATTTCTTAAAATCAATCAGGTAGTTTAGAAATAGAGAAAAGTGGCCATTTGAAATACTACCCAATGTATCTTTACTTGCTTCAAACTTTACAGTTTATTTGGGAGCTTTCCATCTTAAGCTACCCCTAAGAATAGGACACCAAAGCAGAAGATCTTTATAACCGTAAATAAAACATGTTATAATGGGCACTGGTGCATTGCCAAATATAATTTGTACTTTTAGAAATTCAGGATTTGTTACTGCATGTCCCTGATACTGACTAGGATTAGAAATTTATGATGAAACCTAAAAAGGAACCTCTTAATTATTCTTTTATACAGCTTACTAGCTCTCTTTACATTATCTCAATTGCAAAAGCATGAATCTCTCTTCCATTGTCTCAAACATAAGCTTAAGCACATGTTTTAACAATTATGGGTAATTGGAAGCAATGAAGAAGGGGAGAAATCATCACATGCTTTGTTCTACTGAGAAGTCCAACACATATTCTTTAAATAATGACAGGGAGCAGTGCAGCATTTCTCAAATGAAGCCCACGGGTTATGGAAAAGCCAAAGCTCTGTGACGTAATTTAAGAGCTACCACTCACTAGGCAAGGACTTATCCAGAGGTTTCTCTATGACAGAACATGTGGAGTCTGAACTACTGCTGCTGCTACTGCCTGGAAGACAAAGAAATGAACCCAACGGGAACCAAAGAAAGAGGAAACAAGAAAATGAACACATACACAGAGGAAAATTCAGTTCCAGAAACAGAATTTTAAAGAACAATCAAGCTTTGTACTAAAGAACCAAAACTTATTTTCCCTTAAAACCAGCCCTGGTATATTATCCAATATTCTCTAATTACAAAGTCAGACAGGGCAATTAGAAACTGTATTCCTTTAAGCATGTACTATGGACAAATCCCAATATCTACTTAAAACAGCAGCAATTCAGAGGTTGGAATGACATGAATAAAAAAGTAAGTCAGTTGGTGACATTTAAGTCTCTTTAAACTATTTAGTTGATAAGTTACAGGAAGTGAGTTTTAAAACTCCAAATTTAAAGTTATGCACAATTAAAACTATAGAAATGATAAATTACCCTTCATTATAGACAGCTTGCTTTGTCTCCAATTTCACTCCTTCTCCACCAAAACATCAAGCAATTGGATGTAATTATGTATGTTTAAGGTTTCATGGCAAAACTGTGAAAGGCTCACTGAAAAATTTAAAATTTGTAAGCCTAGCTTACAAGGTAATAAAATATCTTACTATTAAATATTTTAACATATTAAGCAATGGCATTTTTTTCTACTTAAAATTTTATTTTTAACAGATCTATTATCTGCTTTAGCTATGACAAGTCTGAAAAAAATAGGTATGAACACAAAACCATTTATGTAAATCAGGGGTGGGCAAACATATTCTGTTAACGGACAGATAATAAATGCCTTAGGCATTTATTCTGGGCTATCCAGAATCATGTGAAAGCAGCCATACACCGTATGTAAACAAATGAGCATGGCTGTTTAAATAAAATTTTATTTACAAAAACAGGTGGCAGGGCAGATTTGGCCAGTAGACTTATCATTGACCAACTCTTGCTCTAAATCATGTTCTACCTGTCTTTTTAAGTTATAGGACCTTTCATTTTAAAATTGGGGACTTCTGGGTTTATCTTCAACAAGATCATTTTAATAAGACAAGCAAAATATGCACCAGCTTGAAAACAATGATCCACACATTAATGATCCACATTAATGGAAGAGAGTTCTGAAATAAACACACACTCAGAGCACAAAGGCTTGAAAAGCGGGCCATTATAATGTCTCTTTCACCTGTTACTTTTATCTTTATCACAATAAACACAACCTTACTTCACCCTTGGCAACAAACGCCCCATAAAAGAGTAAGAATGAGAGTGCATTTTACAAAGTATTGAAACATAAAATCCTCAAAGTTATTTAAAAAATTCAGTGACTTCTAAAGCCTACCCATGCTTGAGAAAAACTCCACATTATCCTGACTTCCTAAAACAAAACAAAACAAAACAAAAAATTTAGGTTCCTAACAAAGATCAAAGTTCCCACATAAAATTAAAACCCTGAATGAAATCTTAACATGGTATAACCACTATCACAGATTTTTACATTTCTAAATTGTAAAAAGACAGAAGATAAGGTATTCTGATTCAGCTGTAAATAGAAGATCAGCACTAGAGAAAAAAATAAGGCAAAGTTAACCATGTATATGGCATATTTCTTGTTTGAATTGCTACCATAACTAAAAATGGCAAAAGAAAAGGCATGCACTCAACTGCATTAGGAATGTGAAATCATATGTAGGTAGCAATCCCAGTTAATTTCTAGAACATTAAAAAGAACTTACCCCTTCTTTTTTTCCTCTTCTCTCCATCTTCTCCAACCTCACCCTCTTCATCATCCTCTTCCTCCGACCCACTGATATCAGAGCCTGATATTTCTTCCCCTGAACAGAAATTTTACAAAACGATTTATATTCTATACCAGGTAGGTCATGACCTCTATTAATTTTCTTCATTAAGTTTTTTTTTTTGCCTGAAACAAACCATATTTTAATATTCCTAAACAGTATATCAGATATGCTAACCTCAGGAATAGATATGATGTACGTAGAGGCTTTAAAGTTCCTAAAGAAAAGTTAAACTGATCTACTTAAAATTTCAAATGATTAGTTTACAAACAGTTCTAAATACACATAAAAATTTCATGTTAAAGTTGTTATTTCGGTTTTTTGAAAAAGAGATCACTTTGGGAGACCATTTTCTCATGGGTTTTCTGTTTAAGATGTTAAATAATTCATTCAACCAGCATATTTTTTTAAGAACCATAAAATTGTCATCTAACATAGTGATTCCACTTTTAGAACTATATCATAAGAAATGTTTCAAAAGAAGGGGTTATTTGTACAAAGAGTATAATAACTTTTCCTTAAGACTGCATTTAAAAAAAAAATTTTTTTAATGTTTATTTTTGAGAGAGAGAGACAGAGTGCAAGCAGGGGAGGGGTAGAGAGAGAGGGAGACACAGAATCCGAAGCAGGCTCCAGGCTGTGAGCACGGAGCCTGATTGGGAGCTCGAACTCACTAACTGTGAGATCATGACCTGAGCCGAGGTCAGACACTTAACTGACTGAGCCACCCAGGCGCCCAAAGACTGGATTTTTTAAGTAATCTCTACACCCAACGTGGGCCTCTTAACTCACAACCCTGCGATCGAGAGTCACTCTTCCAAATGAGCCAGCCAGGCACCCCAAGTATGACTTACAATGAAAAACAAAAAATAAAAGGGAGTAATTAAACTAATATTAATTCAAAGCAGTACTATATTACCTCCAAAATAGTTATTTAAAAACAATACCGTCAATGTAAGAACTGTCTAAAAAAACCAAAGGTAACTTGGGGGGAAAAATATACACTCATCACAAATGATAATATCTGAACAACAGTAAATAATGGATGGGAAGAGATCGGCATATTGGGAGAAAAAAAGCATTAAAAACATTTTCTTTAGGCCTAGTGACAATGACACCCTTGTAGCATTGAGTGCACTGCTATGTCCAAATCTCGATTTCTAAATACCATTCTCCATTGAGAGGGACCAGGGAGAAACAGATGGTTTTAACACCAGAGCAGGGAAAATATAAAATGAGCCTAAAACACATGTGGTGCCAGAAATAAGTAAGTGCTCAAAACCACAAGCCAAAAAAGTGATGGGAGCATGCTCAAAGGATGTAGCAACCAACTACCCTGAAGGGGTGCCTATGGCTAAAGTCCAAGTAATTTGAGCAATAAAACAAATAACGATATTGTTGCATTACACTGCACAACACAGTGCATTGACATAAATAAATAATTGAATAAATAAACCAGTGGGGGATAAGGGACTATTCCCCCTCACAAGAGAATGCCAGACATTAAATATTAGAAGGAATGGTGAGAAGAGAAAGTCACCACTGAGCAAATGCCACAGATTTATTGTTACAGGCAAGAACCCCTGTTGGGTGCTAAAATTAGGGCAGAAAAGAATGATGAGAAACAGGATCTTTTCATAATTTTTCAGAGTATCTTCTCATGAGACATACCTTAATACCAAAGAAAAAAATTAAATGATAGAATTTATAGTGAAGAATCCTTGCAGAATAATTATGAGAGAACTACAGACAACCCAAACTGAAGAACATTCTACAAATATATGACCTTTACAGTGTGAAGACCATTAAAGACCAAGGAAGATGAGGAACTGGAGACAGGAGGAGACTAAAAGGTCCTGACAACTAACTGCAATGTGTAAGCCTAGACTACATTTTAAAGTGAAGATAAAGGGCATTTTTTGAGAAAAAACTCAACATCTGAATAAGATCTACAAATTAGTTAATAAGTCTGTATCATTGTAAGTTTCCTGGTTCCAACAAACATAAAAGATGTTAACATTAAGGGAAGCTGTATAATAGCTATATAGAAACTCACTATACTTCCAAATTTCCGATAAGTCTATAAAAAGTGTTTAAAAAATCATTCTTTTAATGTTTTCCCCTACCTTTTTATTGTTTGTGACCAACTGTATTAACCATAACACTCTTACCTGGATTATAAAAACAAATGTCAGAAGCATCAATGAAATGAAATGAAATGAAATGAAATGAAATGAAATGAAATGAAATGAAATGAAATG